GTGAATAAAAATTTGCACTATTGTTTATGGTTATTGGAGGCCCAATTGCACATTCAAAGCCCATATCTTTGCTCTAATTTCCATTATATAATCTCAATCTTTTCACACAAACGGGACACGAAAAAACCTTTGCCACAACCCTGCCAAAATATCAAATTCGTTCAAGAACCCTAAAAACCTTAAAATCCTTGTTACAAACCTCCATCTCACCACAAACGAATCATCCTTATTACAAACCCCCATCTCACTACTTCTCCAGTAAGGATAAGGCTGGTTTGATCTCCATGATCAAAAGGATGTAGAAGCATTCATACATGCCATATCGGTTTTAACATTACAAAATTTAATATATTTGCTTTATTTGTATTTCATGATATAGTAATGTATTTAATGTGCTCATGAGATTCAACAGTGCAGATTTAGACAGGGTCTCATGCAGGATTATTACAAAGCACTGAGGTCGGATCATAACAACCACCAATTTATGGCAAGGCAGACATTCTGAGGAGGTTAAGGGCGTGGATTCAACACTCACCCCTATTGGTTTTGGTTTTCTTCCATTCTTTTTACCTTTTTACCTATTTTTATTCTTTCTCTTTAAAACCTTTTTCATAAAACTTAACATTTTTCACAAACCTTTGATTTTTCATAATAAACTCGAATAATTAATTTTAGGTTTTTTAATTTAATTTTAGGTTTTAAATTAATTTTTGGTTCGACTCTCACCCCTGACATTTGCATTATTTGTATTTTCAAACTCTATTATTCATTGATGTTTCTTCCCTTATCTATTTTTTGGCAAACTTAATTCTTTTTTGTTAATCGTTAAACATAAACTTTTTTTGAAATCTTTTTTTAATTAAAATTAATTAGGTTTTAGGTTTTTTTAATTAACCTTTTTTTCAAAATTAACCTTTTTTTAATTAAAATTAATTAGGTTTTTAGGCTTTTTTTAATTAACCTTTTTTTCAAAGCTAACTTTTTTTTAATTCGAACTAATTAGAATTTATGTATTTTAATTAACTTTTTTCAAAATTAACATTTTTTATTAATTAAAATTAATTAGGTTTTTTAGGTTTACTTAATTAATTATCACAAATTATTTTTTTCATAAAAAATCACCAAAACATTTTATTTGCTATTTTCATCTTATTTCTATTTTCCTAGATAAAGTGTATAAGGCGCATTCAACTGTAATAGCGTAGCTTTATTTTTTCCGTTTTTTTTATCATTATCATGTAATTGCTTCCAGGATGTAATAGTTTTAGGATTTATTTTCTGCATTCTTCACTATTGTGTAACTTCCCCAAAGCTCTGTAATAGCTTAGGTTTACATTTCCGCCTTTATCTTCTGCTACTATATTTTATGCAACGCTTAGATTAACAGGATTGTATAGGAAAGATAAAAATGAACGATAGAAAACCCTAATTGCAAGATAAATATAACTGAAAAAACACACTGTTGCACACTTACACCCCTAGGGTACTCCCCACTTATTGCCTTCAGAAAAACAATGGCCATGTCCCTCGAACGTATGGATGCCCTTAGCAAAGACCCTCGATTAAAGTCATCATAAAGATTACATTCCCTCAATATCCCTCGAGTTGCCTAAGAGAAATGATCTTGTCCCTCGATCTTGCCTATATGATGACAGTCCCTTCAAAATTCTAAGGTATCTCTACATGTTGCCTTCAATGACCATAAACGTCCCTTTCGATAGTCCCTCAACATCCGACGATAGGGCTACCTACTCACTAATAGTAGGATAGCACTGTCTAAAGGGTAGGAGGAAGAGAACACCCTTTTTTCGAGTAGGTAGATAACTCTTAAGTACTTGCTCAAATCTTTTTTTACACTTACACACTTTCAAACTTTTTTTCAAAAATGCTTTATCACACTCTTGAGGACTGATACAAGAGTTATCATGAAGAAAACAAAATATTTCAAAACACACAAAGCATAAACAGTTTTCAAAAATGAACAAGTACCTAAGAGCCCGTGGAAAACAACGGATGGAAAGGGTGCTAACACCTTCCCTTTCTATAATCTACCCGCCTTACTCAGAAAACTCTCGAAAGGTCTTTTTCTGTTCTTTTCACCCTTTCCTTTGTTGGATAAAAGAAAAGTCGGTGGCGACTCTTGCTTACCGCGACATTTGTGAATAAAAAATGAAAACCAGTATTAACAGTCGGTTCTGCCACCGTATCACAATGACTAACCATTTCAAGGATCTGGGGGATTTATCTTTGTTCTGTATTGTAGGGTCATGGCTTCCAGTCGTAGGAATACCATCTGGATCAACTTTGTAAGGATACCTTCAAAGCTTGAGGAATTAGTCTCAAAGGTTCCTGTAAATTCTTAATTCACTAAGAGACATGGTGATCTACTTAGTTTGGTTACTACTAATTTCTAGGAAGATATGATGAATGTCTTTTCCAATTATTTGATCCTAAGCATCACTGTTTTATATTCCCAGATTATCAGTTGGTGCCCACAATGGAAGAATTCTCTAAATTACTCAGAGTGAATATTCTTGATCAGATACCTTTTACTGGTTTAGAGCAAGTTCTGAAACCTGAATACGTTGCAGTAGCCTTACATCTGAAACGATCAGACATTGTATCTAATTGAGAAATAAGGAATGGAGTCAAGGGTTTTTCTCCTAAATTTATGATAGAGAAGCCTCGGGGGTTTCTAGATGCCATGAATTTTCTTGCTTTTGAGGATATTTTAGATTTTCTAATCTATGGTTTAGTATCGTTCATCCAGACCAATTCATAGATGTGAATTCCATCAAAATATTCCTCACCCATAACCCAGTACCTACTTTTATTGGAGATGTCCAACATTCCCTCCACACTCGTACTATGAAGAAGTGAGGAACTCTTATGTGTTGCATACCTCTATTGTCCAGGTGGTTTATTTCGCACCTTCCCTGATCAATGATAAAGAACGAACAAGGTTTGAGGTGGTCTCAACGGTTGATGTCACTCACTCATGCAGAACTTAAATGTTCTACGCTATTACAAGGTCTCGGGAATGAGGGTACAAATTTGTGAATGAGGATGAAAAATAAGTAAACCCTAATTTATCTATTACAAGCTTTGAGCAATTACATAATTGGGAAATTAAGTACACGAAGATTTGTAAAATAAAGAGAAGAGAGAGGAAATTGTTTTTTTTGTGATTTTTTGATGGAAAAAGTTTGATGATTAACCTAATTATTTGATTAATTTTCATTAACAAAAGTTTAGTAAAACCTAAAGAAACTAAAATAAATTTAATAATAAATGAAATTCTGGTATCAGATATGTGATGTCACAACACAAATATTTGTTTACAAGTAAAGAGCAGTAATAACAAAAGCAGTAAAAACACAAGAGATTGTTCACCCAATTCAGTGTACAACAACACTTACTCTGAGGGCTATCAAGCCAAGGACATGTCCACTAAATAGTATTGTTATACCCCAATTTTTCCCCTAAGATCCCTCCTTATATGATATACATGCATATTGTCGATTCCATGTTTACAGGATCAAAGGCCTTGGCATTAGAGTTTTTCTCTATGAATTGAGGTCGCTACCTTACTCAAAGTTGATTCAACTGGTGCTCTCATCATTCTTGGTATGAGATTAGGGTTTTGGATCACAAGCATCATAGACATATTCACTAGCAGGGCTCCTCGAGATATAAGGTTATCTTCATCAGAATTTCTTTGGAAAAAGTGCTTTAGAATTTATCGTGTGCTCAAGATTTCATCAGGTCTTCATCGATAATGTTTTGAAGTCGGGGTTTTGTTCCACTCGCTATCTCATGCCTCCTTCATTAATGTGCACTCAGAGTGATATCATTTAGGGTTTCTCTTATGTTATGCTTGAGCTTCAACATAGGTTCATCATGCTAGGTTTCTCCTCATTGATTTCTCCACAAGACTTTCATTTCAGGAATTTGAGAATTTAATCAAGGACTTCTTTCTTGTGGTATTATTTGTCAAGTGATTGCAGAATGCTTTAAACTTTCATCAAGTCAAAATATGTCTTATTGGTTGGTCTATGGGTTAGGAAGCTCCTTTATCTCTCATTTTCAAAAGGGACTGGGTCGCTTCAGATGAATGATGGTTGCGATTTATAATTCAGTTGAGATTAAGGTTCATTGATCAAGCATGACATGGAAAATGTGATCGAGAATTCAGGTAAACAAATTTTGTTTTCCTATTCAATTACTTGTTTTCTTACAAATTGTTTTGGATTTGAATTGAAGACTAAAAGTTGAGTTTGGAAAGTTCATGTTTACGGCTTACTTGAAATGCAATTTACAAGTGATAAGTTTAAGGTGTAATTCGAGTTTAAGTTTATTCCAGTGGATCATTTAGAGTTCAAAAAGAGAATTTAAAGCATTCATCATTTCTTGCAAATATCATTTAAATATCAAAGTTCTAAAGTTAGAAAATTTATGAATTTTGTTTGCTTGGAATTTAGAGTTTACATCATGATTCAAGAGAAGTTATAAGCACATCATATGTCAAAACTCACAGAGTTTCACTTGGTTCATCATCATTCATCATGGTTCAAGTTTCCATTTTCGAAACTATTCAAATTCACCATTCAAGTTTTAAATAAAAAAAAAGATCCAAGGAAAGTTCAAAATTTTAATTGAACTATTCAGAGAATTTTTGAAGGTGGAAACAAAGGCTAAACTTCATTCTAGATTATGAGTATAATGACTCATACAAAGTTTAAATAAGTTTGATTGAACATCTCAATCAAAATTCATCCATGGTTTATCTCAATATAAGTTCATTCAATTAAAGTCTTTATGCAAGTATAATTCAAGTTAAGATTCAAAGTCATTCAATTTCAAATTTACATCAAAACACGTTAAAAATCCACAAAGAAAAGATACAAGGAATTTTTTTATCTAAAGTTCCTAAGGCTATCTTCTTCTCGCCAAATGACACCAAAGTTGCTACCGCGACATCAAATTGTGGTTCGAAATCTTCACCCAGCTATACCAAACAAAATCAGCTCTGCATACCTGTTTTGAAAAACATTACAGAAAAATAGGGGAAATTAATCAGAAATCATATCATAAAGGCCGGGAGGAGACTTCAATTAATAAACTCAAAACAGAATGAGAGTCGGGGCTGACCATCGATTTCCCTAACAGAGTTCTAATAGAAATCAGGGGAGGGGAGTGAAACAACAACGAAATAAATCAGAAATAACTATAACAAGTTTAACTGATTTTTCAACCAAATTCCTAACTGTCATAACAGAAATCTATTGCAGCTACTGATCCAATTCTCTAACTACCATAACAACCATATCTAACCTTATATCAGCTGAGTCTCATCCATTGGATCTAAGAACCGAAAATCAAAATCAAAGGTTGAGATTAACTCTCCTATAACAGAATTTCTACTGCTTTATAACATATTTCTAATAGAAAAAAAGGAGGAGGATTCATTCTGAAAAACCACTGGAAAAATTCATTCTTCTCTCTGAAACCTCTGAACCTTGATCACCATAACCTTCCTTCTTGAATCCCCTTTAATCTCTCTGCATAACTGCAACTTTCATCTTCTAACTTCAACCGGTAACAATCTCCATCTTTAATTTGCACCAAGAATCTGCATCTGTTTAATACTTCAGATATCATCATCATCATTGAAAGAATAGCATCGACCTCGTGCACAAATCAATACTTCCAGCTTCATCAACATTGTAAATCACAGTTCATCATGAAACATAAACATCACACAGAAAAATCCGATGCAGAGAAATGTAAAAGACAAGAAGAATATTCGAAGATAAACAAAACTGACAGAAATGATGTGCACCTGATTTCCCTCTCGCGGAGTTTTGTTTCTCGACATCGGCATCATTGTTGAAGAACCACCGGGATTCTTCAATAGGTATAATTCTTTTACTCGCCTTTGTGATTCTTTGTCTTGTTTGAAAATGAAATACGAATCGCGAATGAAAGCAAATTGGTGCTCAACTTGAGATGAGATCCGCAATGGAGAACTCTGTCTAAGACGAAGGTTGAGTCGTGAGTGCAGTCAGACTCAATAAAGATGATTCACGATGATTGGAGATGGATATCAGTGTTGTAATTGCGGATCTGAGCGTTGAAAATTGATACAGAGGCGAATCACTAATGAGAACGATGATGACAAAGGCGAGATTGCAGATCTGTTGAAGCACGACGTAGAATATGATGAATTCAAGGCGGAAGGCATAGAGTCACGCCGCTGGCGAGCTGAGGGAGAAAGAAGGTTGAGTCCAGTGATCTAAAGAGGACTCGTCAGAGAATCTGAGACAGCATCAGAAGGAAGTGGAGTTGTGCTCTTGATCACCGGAATAGAGGACGAAGCACCGCGGAGGATCCAAATGAGAAGAGAGAAGTTCAACAACCATAACCCTAATTCCTCTCTTATCGTATTTTCATTTTTTTGTGCTTTACTATTTTTTTTATAAACTGAAATAAAAGGAATCATTTTTATAAGGTTGCTAGGCTGGGCTAAACCACAACACCCTCTAAGCCCGTCAAAATTTGTTTGTAGCCTAGAATTGTTACAAAGAATAGTTTCTAGGTCGAAATCTTCAAGGCCTGGGTGTTATTTTTTTGGTAAACACATATGGCTGAATATAAAAAAGAGCCTATTGGATTCAACTTGGGCCTAGCGTGGTTTCTTAGTACACCTCGAATTTCTGGAATGCACCCCTTGTTTTTTTTTTTAAATTTCTTTAGTTAGTTTTTTATTTTATTTTTTAGTCTAATGTTCTAAAAAAAATATAGTAATAAAATAAATATAATAAATAACAAAAAAATAATATAGAAATTAGGATTTCTTATTATTTTTTAGATAATGAACTACAAAATCAATAAAAATGTTTGTTAGGCCTTTTACTTGATTTTTTTGAAAATTAATTCCTGATGTTTATTCGATTACTTGAGACTTGTGATTCACATTTTCTTATTAAGTTGAGTCTTATTCAGGGTCATTATTTGATATGCGGGTGTGTTTGGATTCTGATTGTGATTTATTTTCACATCGATGAAGCTTCGACACCTATTCTGAATACTTGATCTCTGACTGTTTGTTTGTTTATGCCAGCTCACGTGAAGTATTCTGGGTTTATTTTCTTTGGTTGTGCTTTTTGCAGACATTATTGTTTGTTTGGTATTATACTACTTCCAAGTTATATTTCTGCATTTATCGCTTTCTAGATATCATGAGAAGTAGGAAATAAAGATTGTGTGCTTAAAGTCGTTGTTTAAAGACATGTAGCTGGCATTTCGCACTTCATTTGTTATATGTGTTGTGCTTGTGTTTGTTTCCTTTCTTGTTGATTGATGAGTCACTCAATTTAGAAATTGAGATCACGACTTCTCTCTCAGTGCATGCTCCCTATAGGATTTTATCGCTTTCCTTTATTTCTTGTTGATCTATGAGTCACTCAACTTAGAAATTGAGATCGCGACTTCGCTCTCATTGTATGTTCCCCATAAGATAGTTTTGTTAGGCTTTTTTTGGCATGCTAACTTAGATAGGATCACTCATTGTATGAGAACATTAGGTTCGAGATAATTTAGTCTCCCTTTATACTTTTCTTTCTTCTTTTGCATAATTGCATTTAAAACTAAAACTTCTTTTTCTTGGCAAATGTATACAAATGCTAGGCATACAAAAATTATTTTCATAGTAAAAAAATACCAACCAATCCACTTATTTTCGCCATTCGACTTTTCTCTTCTAAGAGCATTGTTGGTTCCTTTTCACTACAGGACGTAAGTCTCCAAAGGTCGAGCAGTGGTGGAATGATTAAATTCAACGTTGTTCATTTAAAAAAATACAAACAAACAAAATATGTGAGCTGAACTACGGCTGCTCTGATTCCTTAAAAGGGATGCGTAGGCATTGGGGTAGGGCCCGAACGAGCATAACTTTTATTTTCCCTACATTATTTTTCATTTTCTTTGCATGCATTCCCTCCTAGTTTATAACTCTTAAGCATTAGATTGAACACGCCCTTTGATTAGAATAATAAGAGTGGATCCCATAGGGTACTATGGAAATGTGGGGTGCTAATACCTTCCCCTTGCGTAATCGACTACTTATCCAATCTCTCGGTCACAAGACCTTGATTTCCCCTTTAGGTTTTTCTTCGATGATTTCCCTTTCCCTTTTGTGGGATAAATAAATACTCGGTGGCGACTTCATTGGTTTTACCGCTACAGAAAAATGGCGACTTCACTGGGGAAATACGCGACCAATTGCTGGTCCATCCTGTGAGTCACTCCTAGCTTATATTTTTATTTGGGTGTTTACCTTTATGTTTTACAGCTTATTCATTTGTATATATTTGACCATATGTATGCATTGCGTTTTATTGCTCTCCATATATTGTTATTTTTGTTGTGTTGTATTATGTTTTTATTGATGGGAGGGTGTTACTATTGAGGTAAAAGACCCAGTACCCAGGCCGGAATGCACTAGGACACTAGGAATAAAGTGGGCACATGATGGCTATAGGACGTGGTCTGATTAGTGTAGTCATGTCATATACCATGCTCAGATGAGATTCAAATGAATTACTATCGACACTCACGTCCGTGGGTAGGGCGGTAGTATTTTCAGGTGGACCCGTGATTTTGAGTTACCTTTTACCTACCCTGACCTAGTCTTTACCCGTGAGTAGGGAGGGAATGATATTTACAGGTACAGATGGTGACTATATATATGTTTGGTTGGTGACTTTGTTTCTTGGTACTCTTAATTGGTTCAGACTTTTGATCTTGTTACGTGTGACCTTGGTTCTATTATCAGTCCAGCAGCTATTCAGTACCGCGGAAGCTTTGATCCCATATGTCTGCATACATAGCATGTTAATATGACTATCAACATACATCTTATTTCGTTTCCAAACATCATTTCTTTGATTCCGATTGTTAAGCCAAAAATAAATAAATAAACATTGAAAAAATAATAAATACATGAAAGAATATATAATAATACCATGGCTTAGTAACAGGAATCAAAGCGTAGAAACTTTTAGAAATGAAAACATGGCATTTGTATTACATATCATGCATCATGTTACACTTAACTATGTATTTCATGGGTTTCCCAGAAGTCTTACCCAAGGTCCTTTGCTCTTCATAAACAAGTTGTCTCATCAGTACAACACTTGTACTAAGAAAAGATGGAGAGCATTAAGCAAGAGATCTTTGAACTACGCAAAGAGGTAACTACTTTGAAGACTGATATGGAATATCTAACTGCTTTGGTTAAAACTTTGGTTACCGCCAAAGTCAATCCTTTTAGGAAAGAAGAAGAGATGGCAAAAGTCTTCAAGGAAACTATGAAATCATTTTTTCATGAGAAGGTGATAGTCAATACACCTAAAAATTTCCCAAAAGAAGTGAATGTGGGAATGCTTCTAGAAGAGGATGTACGAAAGGAATGTTTATATGAAGATAGTGGCACAACTAATGGTGTGAAGAAGTTTGATAATAATGTTTCCAAGAAGAGAACCAGAGTAAGAAACAATCATCGTCAGAATCAGCATGTTTCTTTTGTCATCCATGTGTTCAATTTACCTCCTGTCGCTCCAGTTTGTCAACAAAATCAATAAGTTCCCGATCAGAAGAAAGCACAGTTTGATCCAATGCCAATGACTTATACAGAGTTGTTTCCTCTCCTAATGCAGAGGAATTTGGTTCATACTCGACCTCCACTGAAGGTTCTTGAGAAGATTACTTGGTACTACAAAGCTGATTTGACTCGTGCCTTTCATCATGGAGCCCCTGGACATAGTATTGAACAATGTTATCCATTAAAAGCTGAAGTCCAGAAATTGATCAGAAGTGGTATCTTGTCACTTAAGGATATTTTTCTTGAAGTTCAAGCCAAGTCTTTACCGAAGAATAAATGTGATTGAAGGACACCTTAGAGTTTAAGGATGATTAGTCTTCTCAGTTTACTAGCAATTTTAATGATTTCTCATTTGTATTTTTTTTCTTGTTAATCATTATACTGTTTTCATGTAAGAACTTGTTTAACTTTGAATGATTATTTTAATACAATGAATATGTTTTTCTTGAAGAAACCCATTCGTTTCACTCATATTTATTTTTAATTTTGAATTGCTTCTTGCATTATGATACCAACTTGTTATCCATTCTCTTGCCTAAGCATATATTGGAGGAAGGATGATGAATTTAAAACGCAAACTTTCAGGTTGTATGCTTTTGAATAAAACCTTGTTGACGATGTACATGCATTGTTTCAAATTCCCAAACACCAAAGATATAAGGGAGTGAAACCCCCATTAACCCCTTTGAGCCTTGAAGTAGGAGTTTCTTTTCTATTAAAAAACCCTCATTTTTAACCCGGGGCTGGGTAGTGTTCAGTTAATTTGAACGAGCGTTCAGAACTCATTAGAAATTCACATCTAAGGATACAACAATGGTTATCCTTAAAAAGGTTGAGGAAACTCAAAGTTGCAATGACTAACCTTCACTTATCAAGAGTATATGTCAATTGACGATATCCCAATGGGTATCTTTCACCCATCAGGAGGTCAGTAGATGACTATACAACAATGGTTATCCCTCATATACTAAAAATAAGGCAATCACAATTCTTCCAACAAGTCAAAAATGACTCAACGTCACGCGACATGTTCAAAAGGAAAGAAAATGTAATATAAAAAAAATGAAAAAATGAAATAAATAAAATGAAAAAGAAAGAGACAAAAATCCCCGCTAAGTCGAAACTTTAAAAACAAGTCGCTTAGGCAAAAGTCAGGGCCTCCCGCTGGGCTTCATAGTCAAATTCAAAAAGAATTTGTCCAGGAAAAAGTTAGGGAAAATGATGGAAAGCCTGAAAGGAGAAAAGGATTACAAAATATATATCCTTAGCAAAGAAACATGTTGCATGGTTAGACACCGAAAGTAAAAATAAGTCATTGTCGTATCCAAAGAAAACCTCAGTTGTTTCCTCAACCGTCTAGAAGTTCCTTTTAAGAGATGAATGTTCGTGTCAAATTAACTGAACTCGGGACTAGAGAACATCATAAAGGGGGTGGGCACCAAATAATTTTGAGCCTTAAAATCCGTTTTTTCTAAAACCGTGAACCAGGCCACGTTACAACCCTCAAAAGTCCTAATTGAAACAAGGTTTATTTCGAAAGCGTACTTCAACGAGATAGCGTTTTCTGACTCCCATGAATTTTGCTAAATTGTTGTGTTGATATCATATGCTTTTGTTATCTTTTATACAAAAAAAATAAATTTTGCATCCTGGTTAGTGTTTCATTCACAAGGTTTTGCAAATTTTGTAAAAACATCTTCAAGACTTACATAAGTGTTGCATTAGAATTATCATTCTTAGAATAAATATTATTCTGCT